AATTGAACATAAAGGCTTTCGCTGTTGGGATCCTCTCTCTAAACGCCTTCGTATCTCCCGCCATGTCGTTTTCTGGGAGCACCAAATGTTTTCCTCGCTATCCTCCTTTCACTTACCTGCACTTTCCACTCCTGTACTGTTTACTAATCCTTCCATAGATCTTTTCTCTGCTGATTTTGATACAGGTTCCTCCTTCATCGAGACGCCCTTGCTCACTCCTGATCCTGTCCAGCCTGCTCTCCCTGAAGGTCTACCTCTTATTGTCACACCTCCTTCTCCACCGGTTCTTCCTCCCACCGATCCTCCTACGGGTCGACCACGCCGGGTAACTCAACCTCCTATCCATCTTCGTGATTATATTGTTGGATCTGCTGCCTTCTCTACTTATGAACCTACCTCCTATCGTGAGGCTTGTACTAATCCTCTTTGGCAGCAAGCTATGACTGATGAACTCCAGGCCTTGGACAAAGCTCATACTTGGGATCTTGTTGATCTTCCTCCTGGCAAGATTGCAATTGGCTGCAAATGGGTTTACAAAATCAAAACACATTATGATGGCTCTATTGAACGCTACAAAGCTCATCTTGTTGCCAAGGGTTTCAACCAAGAATATGGTATTGATTATGAGGAGACATTCTCTCCTATTGCTCGGCTTACCTCTGTTCGCAGTTTACTTGCTGTTGCTGCTGCTCGCTACTGGGGGCTCTTTTAGATGGATGTCAAAAATGTTTTCCTCAATGGTCATCTTCTTGAGGAGGTCTACATGCAACCTCCACCTGGGTCCACTTTTCCACCTCATCAGGTTTGCAAACTATAGCGTGCTCTCTATAGCCTCAAGCAAGCGCCTCGTGCTTGGTTTGCTACGTTCAGTTCTACCATTCATGACTTCGGGTTCACCTCTAGCCCCTATGACTCTGCTCTTTTTATACGGACTACTTCTCATGGTACCACTCTTCTTCTTCTGTATGTGGATGATATGATTATCACTGGAAATGATGAAGCTGGTATTCTCCACCTCAAACAGTTTCTCCACCGACAGTTTGAGATGAAGGACCTTGGTACTCTTAACTACTTCTTAGGCCTTGAAGTCTCTCATGATTCTACTGGTTCCTATTTGTCCCAGGCCAAATATGCATCCGATCTTCTGGCTCGTGCTAGTCTTACTGATTGTAAAACTACCTCTACTCCAGTTGATCCTCAGATTCGTCTCACTCCTCTTGATGGGACTCTTCTCTCTGATGCTACTCTTTATCGCCAGCTCGTCGGCAGTCTTGTCTATCTCACAGTAACTCGTCCTGACATTGCCTATGCTGTTCACAATGTCAGTCAGTACGTGTCGGCTCCCCGCACTCCCCACTATACTGCTCTACTCTGCATCCTTCGCTACCTCAAAGGCACTCTGTTCCATGGCCTTCGCTTCTCTGCTTCCTCCTCTCTTGAACTGCGTGCCTTTTCCGATGCTGATTGGGCTGGGGATCCTACGGATCGACGCTCTACCACGGGTTTCTGCTTCTTCTTAGGAGATTCTCTTCTTGCTTGGCGTAGAAAAAAACAATCCCTCACTGCCCGCTCTAGCACCGAAGCTGAATACCGAGCTCTTGCTGATACTACTCAGGAACTTCTCTGGCTTCGTTGGCTTCTTGCTGATATGGGTGTTTCTTCTTCTAGTCCTACCCCTCTCTATTGTGACAATCAAAGTGCCATTCAGATTGCTCACAATGATGTTTTTCATGATCGCACCAAACATATTGAGATTGATTGTCATTTCATTCGCCAGCATGTTACCTGTGGTACTGTTCATCAACCCGCTGATATCTTCACTAAGGCTCATCCTCCTGGCCGCTTCAATGATCTTGTTTCCAAACTCAACTTGGTTGATGCTTTCCCTTCTTGAGTTTGCGGGGGGATGTTAGTATATTATTATGTATATTATTATGTTTAGCTTTAGCTTTAATAATTAGTGTAGCTTTAGCTTGCTTTAGCTTTATGCTTTCGGTGCCTCTCTCTCCAATGTATCACAGGCTATAAGAAGAGAGCTAGGCTCCCTTTGTAAATCAACAAATGATATACACAACTCATTTATTCACTTGTTCTCTCTCTCTATCAATTTTATTTTTCAGAAATCAAAGAGAACAGAATAAAATAAGTAGTTAGGATTCAGAGGTTCCAAAACAATCAACATGTTGTAAAGCTGTTAGTATATTCAACGAAATCAATCAATTAACAAGTTTAGTTGTGATTTCATAGACAGAATAAACCTTCTTGTTTCTGACATTGTCCTCATGAGCATTGTAAAAACACCCCCAAGCCTTGGCATCAATGATCAGTTTCTTCCAAACAGACCCAAAGGCAATAATGACTATAAAGGTAATACCTATAAAAAAGAAGCCATAATGCCTTTTACTTACAACACTGTGAACAATCAACTAAATAGACTCAAACATGGTTACTTCACTATTTTTGGGCACACACAATAATACCTTGCTCTAGTGGGAGCCACGTTGACACTTTGACCTATAGCCCCATTCCCATTATTTCTGATAGTTGAAATAGTTATCACATCCTCCTCACCACCTTGAAATCCATCAACTGAGTGAACACTCACAAAGAAGTCACTCTCTGCATCTGTAATGTATGTTGTTCCAAGTTTCTCTTGAATTGCAATAACTTGAGCATTGTATGGTGATATCACACCAATGCTAACCCTCTGTTTTAAGGCAATGGATTTTATAATGGGACAAATAAATAGTCAGTTCTGCAATTCAATGGTCAAAAAGTAGAACAGTTAGGGGAAATGTCTTTGTTTTCTGTTTCTTTGATTTTTTCCCAAAATCAAACTAAACTAGCCCAACCCTAAAAAACCAAAGGCAGACTCATTTTAACTGAACCCATATAATGAAACACCAATACTCAAAATTTCTATAGTTTGATTAATTTTTCCTGCATTTTCTTGGCACCCAAACAGAAATAACAATCAATACAAAATGAGGAATTCTTTTTACCTTTATCTTGTGGCAACTTTGGGTCAAAAAATCTCAATGACCATAAGCATCAACAATCGATGATTTAACAAAAAAACATATGAATGTGGATATATATATATATATATTACACCTTGAGCATCAACGAGAGGCTGGAGATGTGTGCGTCGTAAAAAATGTAATATTTTTAACGGTAGGCATTGTGTGTGCTGTGAAAAGTGCAATACTTTTCAGGGCTGGCGTATGTGTGTCGTGTATAGTTAATGTATTAACGGCATGTCATAGAAAATTTTATTATTTATAGCAAACATTGCAAGTCGTAAAAAAACCATCGTTATAACCATTCACGACCTACGCAATAGACACGCCGTGATTGAGAAATTATTTACGACGTGCAAAAAAAGAAAGTCATAAAAGTGAGAAACTACGGCGTGCATTTATTCTATGTCGTTGATGTGGTGTCGTAAAAAATCAGTTTTGTTGTAGTGTCACTGTTCTTTCCACTTGGAGGTCCTTGATTGCCATGGACTTAGCTAATATCTTAGGAGGACAACTCATGTGTGCTTTTATGCGACTGTATGTGTTATTGTTTGGATTATTCTATGTAGAAGTTTATGTGTTTGCAAGGTAAATAAGGTTGAGGATTAAGAGTGGAGCACTTAGGTGCGGAAAGTTGGTCTTGAAATTAATAATGTCTTTACTCCTTATAGATGTCTGGACGTGCTAGAGCTCACGGTAGGCCTCGTCAGGGAGGTCGGAACATCCCAGCCTAACCCGAGATCCCTCCGCAAGAAGAAGGAGTGGGTCAAAACAATATATCTGTTCCGCCAGCCCAAGAAGCTATGGTGGCCTTGTCTAGGGAGAAGGCGGGGACTCTAAGGGAGTCCATGGAGATATTGAGAGCCGAGCAAGTAGCTAGGACCATTAAGGGAGAATCAAGAGCTTCTTTTTTGAAAAAAAAAGTTCTTTCGTTCTAATCTCGCCGAGTATAGTGGCAAGCCTAATCCGATGAAAGCTGACGAGTGGTTGGAGAAAGTAGTCAAGTCCTTTGAAATCTTAGACATTTGGGAGAATGAATTGCGGGTGGCATTGGCGGCCTACCAATTGAAGGGAGAGGCCAGGCAGTGGTGGAAAACCATAAAACATACAGTTGAACATACTTAGGAAGCATTTGTGCAAGCTTTCCAAGATAAATTCCTCCCTCCCACGGCTAGATAGCAGTTGAGAAAGCAGTTTGAAGAGTTATTGCAACTAGATACACTAGTGGCAGAGTTTGAAGCCAAATTCATTAGTCTCTCGCGTTTTGCGCTTGAATTAGTGGCAACAGAAGAGCGAAGGTGCCTCGAATTTGAAAAAGGTTGAGACCGAAAATTTTGATGAAGGTGGTTGGCAATATGATTCGTGATTATGACCACTTAGTTGAAGCAGCAGCTCATGTGGAGATTACTGTGAAGGCTGAAGAGGCAAGACAAAGATTGAAGAGAGCAGGACATTCCGATGTTAGGAGTGACACGGGTTCTTCAAAAAGGTCTAGGGATTCATCATCATCCTTCCGATCGCCTCCACAACAAGCTAAATCCTCCAGTTATGTGACAGGTAGAAATTCGGGGAATATGATCTGAGTTACGGGTGCATGTTATAGATATGGCCAAATGGGTCACAAGGCTATGGAGTGTGGACACAAAAGTGGAGCACGATCCTAATCTATGTGTCCACAGGGTTAACCTCAGAATATGAGACAACCCCAATCTTGTTATCAATGTGGTCAGTAGGGGCATTTTGAAGAAGTTCTGCCCGCAGAAAGTAGGGACTCTGAGTGTGGCAGGATTTAAATAGTCTGGAGGTTTACAATTGGGTTAGGGACAGAGGAAATCTTATTAGTCTTAATCAGGACAAGCATCTAGAACAGTCCAAGAAGCCATGTCTGCTCAATCCGTACAACAAGCGCATGTTTAGAGAGGTGAGGTAGAGGAGCAAAGATCGTAGGGAAGAGTGCATGTTGTCACTGCTTCTGAGCAAATGTCGGGGCCATCAGTTGTGAGAGGTACATTCCTTATTTTCAATACATGGGCTAGCGTGTTGATTGACACTGAGGCATCACATTCATTTATTGCCGCATCATTTGCATCATTGTTAGGGTTGGAGGGTAAGCAACTACAACCTTCACTCATAGTAGAGCCACCGGTTCGAGGTAAGGTCACTCTAACCCAGGGGAGTGTAATTGAGATGGCGAGGCGACAGCTTCCATTTAATTTTGTCTTGTTGGAAATGTCAGGTTTTGATGTTATCCTCAGTATGGATTGGTTGTTTACTTACCGGGCGACCATAGATTGTTATCGAGAGAGGGTTACGGTGTGCACTGCAAGCGGTGACTATTTCATGTTCAGGGGGGACAGGTATGGTAGATCCTTACCCTCCTCATCCTATCCACGAGGCTGGGGGCAATTTAATTATCGTTTAGCAACTATTTTGGATGACGGAAGTGAAGTAGTCCGGGGGGAATTTCCAAAAGTAGTACATGAATATCTTGATGTTTTTCCTGATGATCATGTAGAATTACCTCCTCATAGGGAAGTAGAGCTTACTATAGACTTACTTCCGAGTACAACACCTATCTCCTTATCACCATATAGATTTGCCCCAGTTGAATTGGTGGTTCTGAAGGAACAGTTGCAAGAGTTACTTACACTACTAGAAAATTGACCTTTTGCTACTATATAATTTGTGACCATCTGATTAGCCATCGCAAATAATCAATTTACCCCCTTATTTTCTTCTATTTATTTTCCCCTTTTCTTTATACTTGCCCTAGCCCCTTTACAAACACCGATTGTTCTCTTTCTCTCGCTCTCTCTGTCTATCGGTCTCACAGTAATACGACTGGTATGAATCTCTCTCTCTCTCTCTCTCCCTCAATCTCGCTTTTTCTCTTTCTCTCTTTCTCTCAATCCCTTGCTCTCTCTCCTTTGATCTTCTCAAATTAGCACCTCTACTACACATGTATATGTACCTCTATATATTATGTATATGTTGTGAATATCAATGTTTGAAATTGAATTTATTCTGTTGAGGTCCGAGCAAGAATCGAAGTAGACGTCCTCAACTTCCTCAAGATCTTGAACTCTTCGACTCCGACAATCTCATATTTCTTTGGTTTGCAATTTTGCTTCAAATCTCTACTCTCGAAATGTGTATATATATGTGTGCGTATGTGTTTTTGTGTTAAGCATTGAGTCACTGTCGATTTTAATTTGATAAATTTGGGGATTTTTGAGTGTGTTATAGAACAATAGAAGATGGAATAATAGCTGAGGGTTTGTTGACTGATGTTTCGTGGATTTTTCTCTCTCACTCGTTTTGCACGAGGTCTTTGATGAGAGTTAACTAACACTGCTGAATCTTTCATTAGTGGTAATAATAGGATCATCATCATCACTTTCTCATTTGCCTTCTTAATCAATCTCTTGAAAAGTACGCATTGCCTCAGCATATGTATCCTTTAATTTAGGCTATTAGGTTTTTGGCCATTCCATTGATGTTTCTTTTCTTCAATTTAGTATAAATTAGGCTTGTGTGTTGTTGGTTGTGATGAATTGTTTATTGTTTATGTTGAATTAGTGCTTTGCTTTGTGTTTTGCATACCTAATTAGGCTCTTTTTTCTTTATTTATTTATTTTGTGTTTTGAATGTCCAATAAGGATGTCAATTTTAGGATTTTGTTTTCAGTGTGATTTGATTAGCAGAAGAGAATGGGATCTCTTATAAGCCAGATCAAATTGTATGAGTATGCTGTTTGATTACCATGTTTTGTGTTGTTAAATGAATATTTAACTTTTTATGAAGTCAATTGATAAGTGATAATGGCTTCAAAGTCCTTTTAAAGAAAAAAAAATATGCAGTAAAGTTGTTGACATCAAAAAATCAATACTAAGTCCTTATCTCTTTTTGCGTTAGTTATAAATGAATCCATTAGGAACATTCAAGAGGATATCGTATTATTTGTAGACAATATAGTTTTAGTTGATGCCATAAGAGGAGTAAACTTTAATCTAGAATTGTGGAGAGAGAATTTAGAATCTAAAAAATTTAAGTTAAGCTGGATTAAGACAATAGTTTGCACACTGCTTCAGGATTGAAGTCTTATTCCTCCACTTGATAAATCTTATTTTGTTTGAGCACTCTATTTCAGGGAAAAGTGAACCCTACTCAGTGTGAGGCCTTTACTATGGTTTGCACTCAGGTAAAGTTTACTGTCTTATTCTGGTTTACTTAGATGATAAACATTAATTGGAGAACTTAGTAGTGAGTTCTATATTGCTCCATTTAATTTTGATTTCAAGCTCTCTCTACAGTTTTCAATATTGTAGACACCCCATTTTTGACCGTCCTCAAGACTCAGACGTCATCGTTTGAACACTCGGCGATCATCCATGTTTGTGTTCGTTTCGAGATCCCGAACGACTCGGCTGCACGCCTTGCCTTAGGATCTCTTGACTTGACTGTTTTGTGCCTGGTTGTGGACCAAGGACTTGTAGTTTTGGCACCTGAGGGTAGGAAGTGGCTTGTTAGCCATCCCTCAAACCCACCGGCTATGGCACGAAGCCACCGGCCTTGCTTTATTTCTACCGACCAAATATTTGGTCGATCGACATGGATATCTGGTTGATCGGCCATTTATTTGGCCGATTGTCTCTTTTTCTGGCCGGTACCTCCTTTTTACCTTTTCCAGGCATTATGCATGCCAGCTGTCCTAACTGGAGTGCACGGACCAATCCTCCATCCGTGTATGGAGGACTTGCACCCTTTGCACCCTTTGCTCTAGCTTCTTGAGGAAGATTGACCCTTTGTCTTAGCTTCCTCAAGAAGCTTGGACCTTTGTCTTGGCTTCCTCAAGAAGGCTTGACCCCTTTGCTTTAGCTTCTTTAAGAAGCTTGCCCCCCTTGACCCCTTTTGTTTAGCTTCTTTAAGAAGCTTAGGCCTTTGTCTAGCTCTATAAAAGAAGGCCTCTCTTTTCCTTTGAAGAGGTTTAGCAAATCAGAGATATATATGATATATATACCACTCTCTCTCTATATCTCCCTCTCTCTATACATTTGTGTGTGTTAAAGTGTCCAAAAGTGAGTTTTGTTCTTAGTTTTGCACTAAGACACCTAGTGTTACACCATACCTTGGTTATTGAGGTGTTGAGAGGTTGTTCTTCGAGCTTTTGAGTTGGTTTTGATCAGAAAAGGGGGCTAGAGTTTGGTTCTTAAAGTGTTCTTCAAGGGTGAGCACTATTCCTTTATATTTCCCATTCTTGCACTAGCTTTTAACCTACTTTGCATGCTGTTTTGAGCTTTGTGTATAACTGGTAAAAGTTCTGATTTTTCATGTTTAAGATGTTTCATTCAGGTCTTTTTTGTGTTTGGGGTCGACCTCCCTCTTTTAGGCCCTTTTGTGCCTTCTTTGTTTGAGCTTTGAGAACTTTCATGTATTGGCCTTCTCACCACTGAAATCCAGAGGATTTTCAGTGGTGGTGAAGGGTTTTGAGGTCTTGCATAGGGGAGGGATACCCCTCTCCCCTTTTGTCTCATATGCTTGTGTTTTTGGCTCATAAAGGTAGCATGCATGCCTAGTTTTGTTTGGCTTTATTTCAGAGGTTATTTGGTGTTTATCTAGCTTGTTTTACCTCTATTCCATGTTGGTTCCTTGACCCCTTGCATGCACCATACACTTGCCTTGCATTTCTCTATTTTGCCTAGAGATGCATCTTGCATTTGGATCACCATGCTTGCATGTTTTGGCTTAGCTTTGTGAAGTTTTTGGTCATGTTTTATCATGTTCAAGCTCTGTTGGGTGTTGATTTGGTCATGCTTTCCATACTTTGTATAGCCTCTTTGCATTTTAGCTTGTTGGCTTCGGGTGTGTGAGTCTTTAGCATGCATTACTTAGGCTATTTCAGTGATTTGGAATCACTTATCATGCCATTTCAGTCCTTGTTTTATGCTTACATGCTTGCATTTGATTACCCTTTCAATGCCTTGAAGAGTTGTGGTCCTATGCTCCATGTTTGAGTCCTTGGTGCATGCCTTTTTGTTTAAATCCTTGGGCTTCCTTATCAGTGGGTTTTGGGGTGTATTTTGATGTATTGAAACTCTGTTTTTGGTTGCATAATCCATGCGATGTGTGGTCATGATAGTTGTAGTGGAATGCTCCCTTTTATGCCTTAGTTTTAGGCCCATTGGTGTGCATGTTTGCATGAGCATTTGTCCACCATTTCCATCACTTTTGGCCACTGTTTATGGCAAGGCTGAGGTCTGCCCTTTGTGGTTTAAGTCCACCATTGCATGTTCGTCACATGTTTGTTGCATATTTGGTTCATTGTGTGTTGGCACATGCTAGTTCCATTGCATATTTTTCCATATTTGCTACATTGCATTTTGCATGCTTGGCATATTGCATATTTACATGTATAGGTTGTATTGCATTTGGCATGTTTTGCTAACTTAGCCTCATATTGCATACTTGAGGCCGTTTTGTACACTTGAGCCATATTGCATACATACATTGCATTATGTTTGGTTTGGGGTGTCAAACCAAACATGGGGAATGAGGTTTGTTCGTACTCAAAGTGACAAAACACGTCTCAATCCTCAGTCGCCGACGCCCTTGATCTCAACATGATAGGGCATGAAGCATTCACTTGTTTGTTGCATTCATTTACATTGATTTGCAAGCTTGGTGCCTTTGGCCATCATGCATCGAAATGCGTGGTTGGTGGCCCGAGGGTCGAGGGCCACACTCCATTGAGTCTATAGAATGATAGGGAAAGTGGCCATGCACACATTGCTTTGAAATTTCATTGCCATGCACTGTCTGTCCTCTGCTGCTGTTAAAACAGGATTCTGCAAGAATATATGGCCGGTCGGCAACTTTCAGCGCCGGTCGACTATAAATACCCAGCCGGTGGTCCCATTTTTGGTCGATGACCATATTTCGATGGCCGGTGGTGTCTTCTCTCGGTCGGTGGCATCCTAAAGTGTTCAGGGAGTGGTTCAGAAGCAACCTTAGGATTTTCCACAATTATCAGAGGTGCAGAACAGTGCAAACAAAGGCAATAGAGGCATGGCGATGGATTTCCAAGCGAGGCGAATCGAGCATGCAAGCATTTGACCCTCTTCCAAGTTAGCTTTACTGCTTTAGTAGTTTAATTAATTTGTTAATTAATTACGGTTTTGTAATATTTAATTAGCCTGCTAGTTAGTTAATTTGTATTATTCTTTCGGACCCTCCGAGCGAGGGCAATGTTGTAATAAGTGTGCGTGTGTGTGATGCATGTCTTCCAACCCCACGTCTTTCTCCCTTTTATTTACCAACTCATGACGGTTAGATTAGGGCACATTTCAATTAGCATACTTATGCTCGCATGTTTGCATCCATTCATCTGTCTTGCATGCACCGGGCTCGGCGTATCATGCTAACTGCATTGTATTTCAATTCCAATTTGAATACATGTATCAAGTTGCATTTTACATGACATCTTAGAATAGTCGAGCCTATTTCTAGTTGCATTTTGCATGTGTTGCATTAGCCATCTTAACATCAACTAAGATCATGCATTTGATTACTAACTATTTTCTGTTTTGGCTTGGAGTACTAGGTAAGCATTTACACTTTAGCATCCTTGCATATGTGTGATTATTGCCATAACAGCATACTTACCA